GTACCACATGTGTATAGTGCCCTTTTAGTCCAGAAGTGGGCCTTCAGTCCTCTGCAACCAGAGTTGCAGGTCTTTGTTAGCCACCATATGGGTGGTGAGAACTGACCCAGGATTATATGTAAGAATAGTCAGTGCTCTGACCCATTCGACCATCTCTCTAATCCCAAGAGTAACATTTGTTTACAAATGCAGTAGCATATAGGTAATAACAGTCTGTGTAAATACTACCTAGAGTTGACCTAGTTACTCTTTGTCAGTTTTCATTCAATATTTTTAGACATTATTTTTATTTATTATAAACTTTTTTATAATTATTAAAACTTTTGTGATTTTTATACAATTTAATTTGATGCTATGTAGATTCCCCTCCCCCATCCACACCTTCCCTACTGCTCTCCAAATGCAATGTATTCCACTATATATACAATATGGTCTATAGAGTCTGATTCATGCCCCCACATGTCATTCAGCATGGATCCATCCACTGGAGTCTGGTTTACCTGCCAAGAGTCCAATTCCTGTAATAGACCGTCTTTCTCCATTCAAGTTGCCATCAGTTGCCAAAAGTTTCTTAAGTTTGGGTGGATTTCTTACCTACTCCCCCATATTTGTGTTGGAATTTTGTTTGGTTTGAGCTTGCACAGGAATTGTGCATTCTGTCACTAATACTTTGAGTTCATATGTGTAACTGACCAGCTGTCTGAAAAAATCTGTTTCCTTGTGTTTATCCACCCCTCTCTTGTATTCTTTCTGCCCCCTCTTCCACCATAATCCCTGAGCCTTGGAAGGTAGCGGTTTGAAATAAGTGCCCCATTCAGGGATGAATACTCTCAAACTTCTTGTTCTTTGCACATTGGCCAGTTGTGGGTCTCAGTGTTAATCATCATCTGCTCCACTCGAGAGTTGGAGGACATATTCATTGTATATGTGGCACAGCATTCAAAATGAGGCACTTAGGCCTAAATGTCTCACACAAAATTATTCTCTTTCATTGACTAGCTGTGGAACTCCAATTAGTTCACATATGTTACAAAAATAAGCTCCCTTGATGAGTGATGAAAGTTACATTTGTAAATATTATTAGGATGCATATTTAAAATACAGGAAAAAGTACATTGGTCTAGGGATGTGGAAAAAGTAGGATTTTTCCAGGATCTAAAACATCTCTTGTCATGTGTATTTGACTCTGTTTACAGTACCACATGTAAGTCCCCTCTCATTCAGTTGCCCTTAATTCCAATTACACAACTGTTGATTACCTGTGAGATAAAAGTGCCAGTACTGCTCCAATAGCAATACTTAGCTAAACAAGTCATTGTTCTTCATTAGGCTTGCCAGCTAAGTAGAACCAATTATTGCTTTACTCCCTTGGCAGCTTGCTTAGTAGCATCTGATATCATAAGAGATGGTGCTACAGGGAGGAGGCTTCCAGGTCAGTTCCAGCTCAATGGCTCCAAGTCCTATGTTTGAAGTATGGTCTGTCTTCAGTAAGAGCATCTTAATTTAAAATTCTTGGAGGTAATCAAGAGCTGTGGCAGCAGCCTGTGTTATTTTGAGATTGTCTTGGAGTACCCTGACCAACAATTGAGGATACACTTACCTGCCTGGCACTGTGGTTTTTGTTGTATAGTCTTCCACTATACACGCAGAGTCATAAATATTGTATGGTATTTTTCAGTAGGACTTTGAACCAACATATTTCACTCTGGTTTTTATACCATCTAAGTTTTATTTATCTTACCTCTCATTTCCTGTGTATTGCCCTCCCTACTCTCTCTCAAGTTAAACTGCCCCCTTTTCTCCATTTCCCCTTAATAACACGTTTCCTACTATCCCCCTCTCTTGAGCTCTTTCTTTCAAGTTTTAGCCCCATGTTTCTTTCCATTTTCCTGGCTCCTGTGGTTATATCAGGACATACATTCCTCTAAGGATTTGGAACTAAGATCCACAAATGAAATAGAGTGTGCATTCCTTTTTTTTCTGAATCTGTGTTATTTAGTTTAGTATAATAGTTTCTAGTTCTATCAATTAACTTGCAAATTTCATGATATTGTTCCCTTTGCCATTGAATAGAACTCACAGTGTGTAAATGTATTATATTTTGATAATCCATTTATCAGATGAGAGAGATTTATATTGTTTCCATTTCTTAGCTTTTATGATAAAAGAAGCAATAAATATGGGTGTACAAGTATTTCTGTAGAAGGGTGAGTGCTTTCATCATAGGAAAACAGTGATGTAACTAGATCATGTGGTAGATTTATTTTGAGTTTTTTAAGAGTTATTCATAGTGATTTACACAGTAATTTCACCAGTTTACAATCCCATCAACAGTGGATGAAGGTTCCCCTTTTTCCTCATCCATATCAGCATTGGTATTAATTATTCTCTTGATCTTAGTCATTCTGAATGGGATAAGAAGAAATATTAAAGTGGTTTTGGTTTGCATTAATTACTAATGATTTTGAACATTTGTAAAGTGTTTCTTAGGTGTTTTTATTTCTTCTTTTGAGAGCCCTCTGTTCACATCCATTCCCCATTTTAAACTGGTTCATTTGTTTTCTTGAATTACTTATATATTTTGAATATTAACCCTCTGTCATATGTACAGGTATGAAGATTTTCTCCCACTCTCTAGTCTTCCCCTTCACTTGATTGGTTGTTTTCATTGCTGTAAAGAAGACTTTTGGTTTAATGAGGACTTTGGGATGTCTCCTATTTCTATCTTTGTGAATAACTTAAGTATTATATGTTGTAGACCTCCAAAGAAGTTTGAAGGTCTGGTAAAATTCTGCTGTCCATCTATCTGTCCTGACTTTTTCTACTAGGAGGCTTTGTATTACTATTTCAATTTCCTAATATGTTATTGGTCTATGCAAACTAGTGATCTCTTCTTGGTTTAACTTTGGTGGTTTCAAGTTATTTAGAAATTTTCCCATTTCTTTTCGATTTTAAAATGTAACAGTATATGTTTTTAAAGTATTCCCTTTCAAATTCTGGATCTTTTCACTCTGCTGTGATGTTTCCCCCTTTGTCTCTGATTTTGTTGAGCTGGATTTCTCTCTCTCTTTTGGTTAATTGGTAGACTTTGTTTATCTTTTCAAGAACCAACTCTTAGAATAATTGATTCTGTGTATTTTTTCTTTGTTTCTATTTCACTGGTTTCTGCTTTGAGAGTTGCTACTTCTTCTCATCCACTGGGTTTGGGTTTTCTTTTTTTCTTGCCTTTCTAGATCCTTGTGTTGTACCATTAAATTATTTATTTGTTCGCTTTTTCATATTTTAATATAGGCACAAGGAAGTATGTGCTTTCCTTTTAGAGCTGCTTTTTAAAAATCCCAGGTATTTTGTTGCATTTTATTATCATTTTCATTTAGTTCCAGGAACACTTTAGTTCTTTCTTAATTCCTTCTTTGACCCTTTCATCATTCAGGAGTGTTGTTTAATCTCCATGAGGCCATATATGTACTATATCTTCTTTATCTGTTGACTTTAAGCTTATTGTGTTGTGGTCTGAAGGAATGCATGGATTAATTTGTATAATTTTTTGTTTTTGTTAAAGTCAGTTTTGTGCCCCAGTATATGCTCAATTTTAGAGAAACTTCCATGGGTTTCTGATTAGAATGTATATTTTTTGGTGGCGTTTGGGTGAAATATTTGGTAGATGTCTATTAGGTTCATTTGATGCTGATATCATTTGAGACAGATGTTTCTCTGTTTTTTTCCCACTTGATCTGTTTATTGAAGAGAGTGGATTATTGAATTCACCTGGTATTATTGAGTAGGGGTTAATCCGTGTCTTGAAGTTGTATATTATTGCCTTCATAAAACCAGAGTTTAGTGCATATATATTCAAGATTGTAATGACTTCTTGTTCTATTGTTCCCATTATTAGAATGAAGCAACATTCTTTAGTGCTTCTGAAAATTTCATTTCAAAGTGTACTTTGTCAGATATTAGAATCATAATGCCTGCTTGTTTCTTGGTGCCATTTGTTGGAATATTTCTTTCCTTCTATTCACCTATTCCCTACCCTTGAAGTTGAGATGAGTTTCTTGCAGACAACGAAAAGATTGATTTTGTTTGTTATTCTATTTAATTAGCCAGTGCCTTTGGACTGGGGAGTTGATGCCATTGTTAAAGTTATTGAAATACATGTATTGATTACTGTCATTTTGCTTACTGTCTGTGTTTTTTATCCTATTTCTGTTTCTGTAATTATACTTTCATTTGTTTTCTGTAGCCTCTTGGGTATGATCAGTCCTTTTCTCAATGCTTTGTGTTGCTTCAAGTATCTCTGTAGGGTTGGTTTGGTAGACATGAATTCTTCCAACCTATTTGTAGAATGGGAATTATTCTATCCCTTTTGACTTTGATAGATGGTTTTGCTGCATTAATTTTTCAAGGTTGGCATCTATGAGTTTTTTGAACTTGGAATACTTTGCCACACTTTTCTAATTTTCACAGTTTGCACGGAAAAGTCAGCTGTAATTCTGATGGATTTTCATTTTTTATGTGACTTGTAGTTTTTCTCTTGCAGCTTTCAGTATTCTCTCTTTGCTTGTATATTTAGTGTTTTTACTATGATTTTCTATAAGACGCTTCTGTTTTTGTCCTGTATATTTGATGTTCTGTGTGTTTTCTCTATCTGTACGAGTAGATCTTTCCTTAATTTAGGGAAATTTTCTTCTATAATCGTGTTGAAGATCTGGAAAATGCCATTGACTTGAACTGCTGCTTCTTTCATGCCTATGATGGGAAAATTTGCTCTTTTCATGGTATCTCATAATTCTTGCATATTACATTTTTTTAAAAAAATTTCATATTCTGTGTTTGAGCAGTCTAATTCTTTTTTATTTTTTTGGTCTTAATGAGACAGGGTCTCCCTGTAGCCCCAGCCATCCTGTAACTCACTATGTAGACCAGGCTGGCCTTGAAATCACAGAGATCCACCTGCCTCTGCCTCCCTACTGTGGGATTAAAGGCATGTGCCACCACGCCTACTAACCTGGCAGGGGAGACACCATGATCAGGAAGGTGGTTTTTCCAGGACGAGGCTCATCCATTGCACTTGGGCTGTGCTGACCCCTGCCATTTCTCCAAATGTGGGAAACTTGACTGCATAATTCGTGGTAGTGAGGGACTGCATTTGGGCTCTCCCTTGTAAAAGAAAAAAAAAAAAAAAAAAAAGAGCAGTCTAATTCTTAAACTTTATCATGCAGTCTTTATTTTCTATTTCATTCATTCTATTTGTGCCACTTTTTCTTGTCATTTGGGAATTTTCTTATTGAGTTTATCAATTCCTCCATTTCAGCCTGAATTTTTAATTTTCCTCAATGTTTCTCTCTTTTGTGTATTCACTTTTCAAATCATGAATTATCTTTGTAATTTCCCTCATCCTTATATTTATATTTTCCTTAGCCTTAATCAGGAGTTTATTCCTATTCTCTTTGAGTTCTCTGAATTTTTTGTGTGTTCTTTGAATTAACCGAATTCTTTTGTTCTGTTCATGATTTTTCCTTAAATTCTGTGTTCTGGTACTCCTATAGATATTATGGAACACTTTTACAGGATGGGTGGGTTTTGATGTGAACATATTTCTTTTTCATATATATATATAGTTATGGTCTAGGCATTTTGATTGCTTTTGTTGCTTAGATGTCTGATAACAAATTCAGGCCCGCCTTTTTTGAGTTGAATTTTGATTGTTTGCATATTTCTGTAGCTTGTTTACTTCCTCATTCTGTTTGACTAAATAGTTGGTCTGTGCTTCAGGTTCTTTCTTTTGACTTTTTTTTTTTTTTTTAGAAGGACTACATGGATCTAGTCAGGCTATCAAGGACTCTCCAGGACCATGAAGGAGACTTCATCAGGTTGGAGTGAGAGGATCAGTTGGGCTGGTTCTAACTAGCTAAGAACAAAAGTCATGAGCCTTGGAGCTGAACAAATAGGGCTGGTTACAATGCATGGGAATGTTGACCATGAGTGGTGGGTGAAATCTTTGGCAGTTTCAGCAGGAAATGGCCAAGGCTTAAGAAAGGCCACTGGTAACTGGATAGTTTTGAACTTACCAGCTAGCATAGAGGGCATGAGCCTTGGAGTAAAGGAATTGTGGGTGTTCCCAGACCATGGGGATGGCTAATGGAGGACTTGGCTAACTCATGAGTCAGTCAGGCACTGTCTGGCAAACTATGCAGAAAGGGGCCAAACCCCACAGTGACATAATATTTTTAATAACTGTAAATTTTACCTTTTGACATTTTTGATCTTTTCTTTTTTTCATTGTAATGCAATAGATTTGAAATTTTTTTAAATGACAAAATTAGGTTAAGGTAGCCCTGCAAACCCTTGCCAAGTCCTAAATTGTATACATCTCAATGATATTTACAGTAGAAGGGCTATTCTGAAGCCAATGAGCTTGGATTAGAGTTTTACATTCACCATAAATAATGTCATTTTCATTACTGGGTGTTTCTATACTTGATCTTATATATACTTTACCTAATTTTCTGTGAAAGGGGCGGTGAATAGAAAATGTACACCCATTGATTGCAAGGTGTGATAGATGTCCACTTTGCACACATAATTTATGCATTTAAGGCCTGAATCATAATTACTGTAGAGTACTATGAAAATTTTAGCTTTGATTTATGCTTTTTTCTGCAAGCTTGAGGGTTATGAGTATTCAGAGGGCCCCATTACTGCTCATGTGACTATCAGTGGCACCACATAAGAATATGATATTCACATTGACGCTGAAAATCTAACTGTATAATTGGCCTCTTCTAAAACCTCATGGATACATGTGAAAAGAAAAAAAAAATTAATTGCTGGTAGGCAGGAATAGAAGTCAGTTCTCCATTTGTGTTTTTGTGATACTGTGTGAAGGGCACTGTTACCACTTGGACAGGAGAGCTTCCTGGCTCTCCCCTCAAGTTTCTCAGGCAACACAGTATTGGATATGCTGCTCCAGCTGCTCACAGCCTGTCAAGGTTGGTATTACAGGCTTCCTACTAGGTGATGTTGGAATGAAAAAGGGTAGGGTTTCTGTTTTTCATTGCTGTTGACATAGGATGATACATTCAAAAAGTTATATTTTGAGCCCACTCCCTTTTTATGCTTTATTAATAAAAATAGACATGATTGTTTAATGGTGTGCATCTGTAGGCATTTTTGAGTTGCAAACTTGCTCATTATTTCATCCAGGAGCATATAAATTAAAAAAAAATCCTGGAGATTCATTATTATTATACATGTATATATTACTGAAATTAAATATTGGTGTGGTGTTAGAGTGCTCTGAGGATATAATATATAATATATGTGACAAGTTCATATATATAGTCATGTATCCACACATACACATATGCAGTTTTAATATACCTATGCAAAATATATAGTATATTCTAATAGACATTGTAAAGTTAAATTAACTTCTAGGAGGTCTGCTCTGCATGCTGTCTAGGCTCCCAGGCCTTCTGTGAAGTATGCTGTGATGGGTTTTCATACAGAGTTTGTAATATCCAGGATAGAGTTTCTTACAAAGGCATGCACCTGTGGGCTTTTTTTCTCCCTACATCTCAGCTGAGCTTTTTAGATCAAGGGCTGTCAGAGTGCTGGCCAAGTTGGAGAACCTCCCCTGCTACCTCCATGTCTGTCCTTAGACCCACCCCCTCATGCAATAGAAGCTGACTGATTGGGTGGCAGGGATTACTGCCTCCTTTCATTTCTATAGAGTCTCTTAGGGTTCAGATACCCAGCTTTCCCTAGTTCTCTTGGATGACATGCCTATCCAACAACATGTATATACAGATACTAGCACTATGGAAAATAAAATAAAAATAATTAGGATAATTTTAGTGAGTGTGTTATTTAGTTTTTATCAACTTGACAGAGCTGACTAGGGTCACCTGGGAAGAGGGAACATCAACTGAGAACTTTTGTCCATCAGGTTGGTTTGTGCCCATGTCTGTGAGACATTTTCTTAATTTCTTATTGATGTGGGAGGGCCCAGTACACTGGGTCTGGTGCCATCCCTAGGCAGGTGTACCTTCCTTGTATAAGAAAGATAGCTGACAAATGAGGGGAGAGCAAATCCTAAGCAGCATTCCTCCATGGTCTCTGCTTCTCTTCCTGTCTCCAGGCTCCTGCTTGAGTTCCTACTCTGGCCTCCCTTAATCATGGATTGAACTTGTAAGATGAGATAAACATTTTCCTTCCCAAGTTGCTTTTGATCAATGTTTTATTAAAGCATTATAAAGCAAAATAATATAGTGAGTATGTGTGCTAGTGTGTGTGTGTGTGTGTGTGTATACAATAGGAAAGCATTTGTTGTATGTGTGTGTTTAGGTACATAAATATGCTCATGCATACATGTACACACATGTATACACACTTTTAAACTCCAAAGTATACAATAGTCATACATAGAGACACACACACATCACTAGATAAAATAAAGCAATTGAAGTTTCTTTTACACTATAAAATTGCTTAAAACTAGATTTGAAGAAAATGAGCTGATGCTTCTGAAGACTGTACTCATGGTGGTAAGTTTATATAACATATATTACATGATACTTTTAAACTTTTCTCACACTCCTCTATTGTGTAGCATTTTGATAGCTGAAAATGCTGTGAGCTATAAAAAATTCATGTAAGAACTTTGAATGATGGTGCTGTTTTACATTTTTAATAAATTCTTTGAGATTTCATACAATTTATTTTGATTATATTCACTCTGTATTCTACCTCCTAACTCCTCCCAGATACACCCTCACTACCCTACCTCCCAACTTCGTGTGTTCATTATGTTTTAAATATCCTTTCAACAGTAATTTGCGCTGTCCATATACTCCTAGGTGTGGTGTCTTCCACTTGGTGGTTAATCTACAAGCTTTAAAGCAAACTGACTCCTTCATGAAACTCATCAACTAGTCTTAGAGCTTCAATTAAGGATGAGGGCTCATGAACCCCTTCCCACTTCATGATAATTTGTTGACTGACTTGATTTTATGCAGGTCTTGTACAGGCAATCACAGGTGCTGTGAGTTTATTAGTGCAATGTTCATATCCAGAAGACAATATTTTGCTCCACCTCCCTGATGTCTGGTTCTTACAATCTTTCCACTCTCTTTTCTGAAATTTTTCATAAGCTTTGAGGAAGGTATGTAATATAGATGTCCCATTGGCATTTGGACTTCCACTGACACTTATTGTCTGTCCTTTGGCCAGTTGTGACTTTATGAGTTAATAACCACCCAATATAAAAAGAAGCTTTTCTTATGAGATCTGAGAGCTGTGATAATCTAGGGACACAGACAAGAGCAGAGATGGCAGTTTAATACCATGTCCATTTAGCAGAATAATATTATTAGGTTCATACCTAGAGCCTGTGAGTTCCCTAAATATAAGTTCTTGACCAGGTTTGCAGTACCAGGAATATGATTCTTTCTGTGGAACAGACCTTAAATTGAATAAGGAAACAATTGGTTATCCCATAACACTCATGCCACTATTGTACCCGTGGACATATATTGCCACACAGGTCATTATTACAGTTTACAAGATTCACAGCTATGTAAGACTGTTGAGGCCTTTTTTAACTCCAGAAGACTACATAGCATCTTCCAGCACTATGAAAATTAACTAGCAGGGAGGAAGCTTCCTGATGAGAACTAACATGAGAATATATTGTTCTCATGTCAGCATCCAAAGGTAGAGGAAAGTAAGCTTACAGAAAACATGTGGTGTGTGTTTTTGTTTTGTTTTGTTTTGTTTTGTTTGTTTGTTTTTTGATAAAACAGATACATTTCCTGGTGCGACTAATATAGTTAACCTGTAATTCCAGATATCAAGGGACTTAGGCAGAATATTGAATTTTAGGCCACTGCTTCACCAAGAGTTCCAGTCTATATTGGGCTACACATAAAGGCTATTTCTAAATAAAAACAAAAATTACTACATGTTCCATGTACTTTCCCTTGAATCTAAATTGTGCATTTGATTTTGTCTATTTAATTATCTTAGAAGAATGTTTATATTTGCAAACATAAAGAACTATTTAAGACATTTTCATTATAGATAACCAGTAGGCAAATTGTTTATTAGCAGAATCATAGTATTATATGTGGTTAAATGAATAAAATAGATGTTTCTGTAACA